TCTGTGAATGTGCATTGGGTGGAATGAGTGAATTCTAGGTCCTGGGCTTCACTCCCCTGCCCTTCTTTCCCACATGTAAAGGGGCCTGATGGGTGCAGTGAGATGAACTATGCAAATGGACATTCTGAACTCTTAACACACCAAACAAGTGTCAAGGCTTTGATGAAGAAGCTGCCTTCCTCTGGCTATTGGCAAATGTCAGTTTTCCCATTGACGTGCTTTTATTCACAACTTTAAAAATGTAAGGTGTAGTGATGAATATGGGTTCTGATCCAGGAGACTCAATAAAACTCTTTTTATTGTGAATGGAAAAAATATGTTCTATAGTTTCTAAATTGAGCTGATTATCAACCAGGATGCTTACCTCCATTCTGAGAACCACTTACTCCTTGCAAATGAGAAGTCCAGAAATGAAGAGACTTGCCCATAGTCTTATGGGTAATTAGCGAGAGAGCCAGGCTTAGAACCAGCCATCTTCATCCAACTTGACTGCACACGTGCACATGAGTGTGCGTACACACACACACACACACACACACACACACACACACACACATGCATACATATCCTCTCTCTGCAGTCAGTTCCACTGAATGTAATAGGAATAAAAATGAGCCTTGTAGACAGCCAAGCTTACAAAGGTGAGGATTGTATACCATTACACAACAGATTCAGACCCAGAGCAGACTTGAGATAGTCCCTTAGCAAACAGCCATGGTAGAGAGACCCTAATTCCTGATATCACATGGTACTATCTAGTCCCCAGAGCAGGCCTTTTTCTCTCTGACTTAGACATCCTGTGTCCAGCTCTCATTGGTTTGCAGTACAGCAGAGACCTGGCTCTGGGCCAGCTAATCATTCTGGAGCTAGCACATTACTCCTCTGCTTATTTGCATATATAAATAGCATTTAAGAGAAAATTCAGGGAAGGTCACTGTTCGGCCACTGGGATAGCCAAGAATGTATATGGAGTGAAGCCTTTTCATCACAAATTCCAGGGACTTCAGGCACGGCAGATTTTCATTTACTCTATTGATTCTTTTGTCAGTAAGGAAAAGAGATGAGAAATTATTTTAAAATTAGAGGCCCGGTGCATGACATTCATGCACTGGGTGAGGGTGTGAGAGGGAGGGGTTCCCTCAGTCTAGCTGTGCTCTCTCACAGTCCAGGACCCTCAGGGGATGTCTGACTGCTGGCTTAGACCCTCTCCCCACGGGCCAGCAGTCGGACCTCCCCTGAGGGGTCCTTAGCACTGCTGCGGAGGTAGGCCGCTGCATTCTCCAGCCATCAGACCAGCTTGTGGCTGAGCTGCACTGGCCACCTGTGGGAGTGCACTGGCCACCAGGGGGAAGCTCCTGCATTGAGCGTCTGCCTCCTGGTGGTTGGTGCGTGTCATAGAAATCAGTGGTTCTGCCGTTAGGTCAATTTGTATATTACCCTTTTATTATATAGGACAGCCAGAAGTGATCTGAGGAATTTGAAAGGGAGAATCATCCCAAATCATGCACCTTTGCCTTCAGAGCTGATGTTTTTATACCTAAGTGTGAGTTGTCACATCCTCAATGTCTCCTGACCTTCAGACACGTAAATCTAATTGCTCATGGGGCACCTCCAGGTGAAACTCTCAAAAGCCTCTCAAACCCAGCACATCTAACACTGAACCCACTGCCTCTCCACCCCACCTCACCCCCAGCCTCTTACCCTCCACTTTAGGTAGCACCTGTGATGGCAACTTTTCTTCAAGGACCCAGGGCACCAGGCCAGACACCTGGCTGTTCTCCTAAGCTCTTCCTTGCCTCCCTCCCCAAACAATAGTGAGTCCTCAAGTCGGCCCACTTCTCTGACTCCACTGCCACTAACCTAATCCTTGTCTCCAGGTTCTTACCCTCTCTCACCAGGATTGCTGGAACAGCCTCCCAACCATACTCTGCCCCATCTCCCCTCTCCATTCCACATCCCACACTCACATTACACCTTACTGTTCAACTTAAAACCCTCCATTGACAATCTTGCTGCCCACGGAATATGGTCCAGGTTTTTTAGAAGCCTGTGTCCAGGGCTTTTCATGGTCAGCCATCCCATCCACCTTCCCAGCCATATCATCTCCTCATAGTAGGTTCCAGAAGCACAGATGCGGTGTTTCAGAGCCCTGGACACACTGGGCTGCCCCCCAGTTCTGTCCCTGTGATCTCTCCTTTGCCTGGAGCTTCTGTCCTACTCATCTTCACTTGGCTAATTCCTACCTGAGTGAAGGCTCACTCAGGTGTCACCTGCTCTGGGAAGCCTTCTCTGTTCATCATCAAGGGTGGGTGCTACCTTTGATAGACTGTACTGACCTTTATCTTGATAGATTTATTTTCCGAGTTGTGATTTTAATCAAGTCATATGCCAAGTTGTACTAACAATGTTTCTGAGTCCATGTCTGCTTTAAGCCATTTAAATTTAAGAATTGTAGTCATTTTGCCTTTTGTTGACATGGATAGTACCTAGCACACAGTGAGTGTCCCTTAAGTATTGGTTGAATGTAACTGAAAAAGTAAATTCACTTTCCATTTAAAAGGAGGATGTGGAGAAAAGGGAACCCTCTTGCACTGCTGTAAGAGGTAATGCAAACTGAAGCAGCCACTGTGGAAAACAGTGTGGAGTTTCCTCAAACAATTAAAAGTGAAACTGTCATTTGACCCAGCGATCCGACTTCTGGGAATATATCCTAAGACTCCTGAAACCAATCAGAAAGAATATATGCACTGCCCCCCCCCCAATATTTGTAGCAGCACAATTTATAATAGCTAAGATCTGGATCTGGAAATAGCCCAAGTGCTCATCAGTAGATAAATGGATAAAAAAGCTGTGGTACGTTTACACGATGGAATACTATGCAGCTGTAAAAAGAAGAAACTCTTACCATTTGCAACAGCATGGATGGACCTGGAGATTATTATGCTAAGTGAAATAAGCCAGTCAGAGAAAGATAAGTATCACATGATCTCACTCATGTATGGAATCTAAGGAACAAAATAAATAGATGGACAAAATAGGTCCAGAAGTATGGATGCATGGAACAAACTGACAGATCTCAGAGGGGAGGATGTTGGAGGGGATGGGAAGATATTAACCAAAGAACATAAATGCGTATATGCATAACCCCTGGATGCAGACAGTAGTGTGGGGAAGGTCTGGGATGGGGTAGGGGTTGAGTGGAAGGGGGCAAAAGGGGAAAACAGGGGACATCTGTAATATCGTCAACAATAAAAATAAATATCATAGACATGAACAATAGGGTGGTGAAGGCCTTGGGGGTAGAGGGGGTAAGAGAGGGCAATGGGGGGGGGAAGGGGACATATGTAATGCTTTCAACAATAAAGATTTACTTAAAAAATAAGAATAATTAAAATACAAATAAATAAAATAAAAAATGAAAGGAAATAATGAGGCTGTGGTTGTGCTTCCAGAAAAGCTGGCAGGGCCTTTGCAGCTTCTCTAGCCTGCACCTGTCCTCAGCTTCTGCAGCTGAGCTGCAGCCTTGCCCATCACAAACCACAGAGCGCCCATTCCAAGTAGAGCAGAGCTCTTCTGCAACGGTGTCACGCCTCTCCTAGCTGTGTCATTTGACTGATACTGGCAGAGAATTTCAGAAAATCCAACTTAAATAGGCTTGAGTCTTAGAGGGGATTTCTTAAAGGTACTAAGGAAGTCCAGGGACAAGGTAGGGCTCTGCCTCTGTTTCCTGCCATTATTTTGGCTACATGTTTTATCTGCCCATTGGCTTCACACTCAAGAATAGTAATTTGAGGCTCAGGGTCACAGTGACAGTATCAGAGGAAGTGAGTTTATAGCTAAAGAACTAAGGCGCTGTTTTCCCAGAAACTTCCCCTCAGGCTTTATTGTACTGAATTGGATAACATTCCTATTTCTGAGACAATCCCATTGACCAGGAAATGGTATATACACTGATTGGCTTAGATCTGGTGCCTGAGGAGGGATCCCCTTTAGAATGATCAGGCTCTTCTCTGGAACTGGGTTCTGTTCAGCGATCTTTAAAGCATGTGACTGCCTGAGAGAAGCCTAAATGAAAAACAGGGTACAGGGCTAGGGGAAAGAAATAGCTCGATGCCCGCTGTTCCAAATGGTACTCACTATGCCCTTAAAATCTGTACTTGTGAGTCCATGGAGCTACATGAAAGTTCAGTTCAGAGTCAATTCAACACAGTGTGTGGTTGGTCACTGCCTACGTGACATGTTAGTATGCCCTGTTGCTTTCCATAGGTTTTCTCCCCTCTAGTGGGGCAGTAGGGAATAGGTCAAGTCTCCCAGCTCCCAGCTTGACCCCTCATCACCTGTCCCTAAAGCAGTGGTTCTCAACCTTCCTAATGCCGCGACCCTTTAATACAGTTCCTCATGTTGTGGTGACCCCCAACCATAAAATTATTTTCGTTGCTACTTCATAACTGTAATTCTGCTACTGTTATGAATTGTAATGTAAATATCTGATATGCAGGATGTATTTTCATTGTTACAAATTGAACATAATTAAAGCATAGTGATTAATCACAAAACAATATGTAATTATATATGTGTTTTCCGATGGTCTTAGGCGAACCCTGTGAAAGGGTTGTTCGACCCCCAAAGGGGTCGCGACCCACAGGTTGAGAACCACTGCCCTAAAGCATGCGTGGGGCCTTTTTGAGGCTTTCTACAAGTTTCTTCAAAGGGGAAGTAACTAGGGATAGTAAATAGCTTTTGCCCCCATCTTCCTGATTCACTTACTCTGTCTGTTAGGCTCTGTAGAGAAATGCAGAGGCCAATGGTGGGCCCTTCTGCTGAAAGTGAAGCCAGGAAACCTAGGTAACCAGGCTGTGGACCACCCTGTTCTGCAAGGGATGACTTGTCCTCACTGAGGACCAAGCAGGAGGGTTTTATTCCTTCTGGTAGTTCTGAAAGCTTTGCACTCTTGGCCCCATGACCCTTCTGATTAATCTGTATGATCTTGTCTCCTCTAGATGTTCGACTGGATAAGCCACAACAAGGAGTTATTCCTCCAGAGCCATACAGAGATCGGAGTCAGCTACCAGCACGCTCTGGACCTCCAGACGCAGCACAATCACTTCGCCATGAACTCCATGGTGAGCAGGAGAGTAGTAAGGGAGGGGGCTGGGGGGAGGATGAAAAGGGGTAGGAACAGGCTTCCAACCTGACCAAAGGACTTATATGCATGCATATTAGCATAACCAATGGACACAGACACTGGGGCGGTGTGGGCTTGCCTGGGCTAGGAAGGGATTGGGGACAGGGTCAATTGGGGGAAAAGTAGACATATGTAAAACTTTAGACAATAAAAAAAAAAGGACGAGGAACTCTGAATGTACGGATCCTGAAGCATCCTGTTTGCCAGGATGGGAACATGTGGCCAGCCAGCTGTTCTGTAGCAGATTATGGCCCCATTTCTGCCTCCAACCTTGCTCTACAAGATGAAAGAAATGTGCTAGGGTTGTAGAAGGCATTGGCTCAGTGCAAGACTAGACGGGAGAGTTGCCATTCTGTTGATGCCACCTACTAGCATGTGTGAGTCTCTGAGCTGGGATGGTGAAGGACCTCAGCTGTGGCACATTGAAATGGGTGAGTGAATTGGGGCTATTTAGACGGGAGAAGAGGAGCCTAAAGGGACATGCAATCACTACCTTAGATATGTGAAGGACCTCCTTGGAAAGAGAGGGTAGAATTGCTTTGTGTTGGTCTATGAGGCACAAGGGTCTGGGACATGGCAGTTGGAGGAGGAGGCAGGACAGGACTCGGGGTGGGGGGGTGGGAATGCATTGGGAGTTAGTGAGCTCCCCATCATGGGGGGTGTTCAAGTATACCCTGAATTTGGAGAGGGATATTTCCTAGCTGTGTGGCCATAGGGAATTTATCTCTCTGTGCTTCAATTTCTTCATCTGTAAAATGGAAATAATAGCTACCTTATAGAATTGTAAGGATTCAGCGAGTTTATTGTGAGGTGGTTGGAGCTGTGACTGGTACATAGTAAGTTACCAGCAATTATAGGTATGACGATGATGATGATGAAGATGATGGTGATGATGTAGGAGTCTAGTTCAGATAACACCTGTGATGCCTCATAAAACAAGTACTTTAGAATATTATTTTCCCCATGTGGTCACTCCAAGAAACTTCATTTCAAAATCTTGTCTGCCCCTTGAGCCCATGTATTGTATTTGAAATGCCTGCAACCTAACTGTGCCTCTCTCTCCCCCTTGCCAGCTCTTCCTACTTGTACTACTGATCCGTAAGAATAGGTCCCGCATTCATATATCTGAACACCAAGGGCACCTTATCATTTCAGCTGGGGATGCTGACAGGGGAGCAAGCGTTAGAGAAACATAAACATAGAGGATCACGGAGGCCAGGAAGGCAGAGAATTTCATTTTCTACCAGGTTGCGTTAAACATGCTCCACACTGGACGTAATGTCCTGAAGAAGAAATAGTTCTGGCCTGCGGTTGTTCAGTGCCTAGCTGGGGAGATAACTCAGACAGTCATGCTGCAGCTTGGCATGTGCCGTGATGATATGCTGAGTTAACGTGAAAAACCTTAAAATCTCAGTGGTTTAAGACAACAGGGGTTGATTTCTTGCTCCTACCACATGCTCATCACTGGCTAACTAGAGCTCTGCTCATCACAGTCACTCAGCGACCCAGGCGGATGGAGCAGCCACCGTCTTAGACACTGCCAGTCCGTCTCACCAGACAAAATAGCCAAGCCCACACTGGCTCTGCAACCATTCACCTCAAAGTGGCATTCCACTTCCACCCATATTTCCATAGCCAACTCCAGTCTTACAGCCACATCTCACTTTGTGGGTGGAAATGTATAGTCATGTCACGTGTTGGGGAGGAGAGAGTCAGATATTTGGGAATATCCCTAATGCCCAGCACAGGGAGCCACTGCAGGATGTAAGGTAGAGATGAACATCAAGAGATTTGCTTAGAAAGATAATTCAGACTGCAGAATAGGAGGCTGTGAATCTAGGCAGGGAAAAATATCAACATTGATTTTTTTTTATCAGGTTTGGCCACAGCAGTCTTGTGTTTTCAGCGTAAATGTAAAGACTCATTGCCTTCGAACTAGACTCCTATAATTATATCTCATCCCTGGCTCACTTGAGTCACAGAGGAGCAAAGAAATTGATCACAGGTGATTAAGGACGTGAACTCAAATCTAGTCAAGCCTGATTATCTGTGTGCCTGGTGGATTTCCCCTGGTGAATTTTACGGATTCTGTGCCAGAATCTTTGTGTCACCCATCTGCCTGGCCCTAAAGCAGACACACTCATTTTAATAAGAAGCAAAGACAGACATAATTAGGGAGGTAAGTCTGCCACAGAGCCCCTCACAACAGTGAACTACAAAGCTAAATAGAAGAGCCTTTGGTTTGAATGATCTGTACCACGGCTTATCTCTGTTAATGTGGATAGCTGAGAGCTAGTGGCACATCAAAAACCTTTCCTCAGACGAATTCACTTTTGAAGTCTCCATATTCAGGACAAAAACGAGGGAGAAAATTTACTGAAGGGGAACATCTTTTGGAGTTGGGAGAGAAGGAAGAAGAGGTTTAATATACATCAGCCAATTAGCCTATTCCAGCCCGTCTCAAAGTCTCCCACCCCCTGAAGAGTGCAGCACTCAGAGGCCGTTGCCTGATTGGGCTGGGTCTCCTCGCTGGCTGCAGGGCAAGGGAAGGGAAGTCCCAGGGTTGTTTGGTCAAATTGCCTGGGCACCTGTGCTTTATAAACACAGCCCGTGCTGTTGTTACAGGTTTGTTATTAAAAAGAACTCCCACAAAGAGGGATGTCAGCTTCCCAAACAGGTTAAAGGAGGGAATTACAGACTCCTTTTCTCTGGCCTGAGTGATGGATGTTGCTGCCAAGAAGCAGATGAATACAAACAGCTACTGCTGGAGCCCAGTGGCTATAGGAATGACCAGTTAGTCACACGGGGACGTGAGAATGTGGATTGGTCTGTAAATTCACAGAGGCACTTCTGTTTCTGTTCTTAGAAGTTATGCACACACTATACACACAGCCACACATCCTTCCCCGTAAAGGTACGTGCAGGTAGCATACTTTGTTTTAGGCCACATGTGAGTTCTTTGGTATTGAATCCTGTTTTGTAACTGAAGAAGGCCAGTGATTTCTTACCCTTTGGGGAGGTCACAGACCCCTTCAAAATCTAAGGAAGGTGATGGGTCTTCTCCCCAGAGAAATGAACAATATTTTTTAGATAATTTCAGGGACTTCAAGGGAATCCTAAAGCCTATCAGCCTCCCCAATTTAAAATCCCAAGAACCTAATGACTTCATTCCCATGTCCCACAAATAATTAAGGATCAGACATTGTGCTGGATGTGGGGCATATAGTAGTGAACAAACAGAGATGGTCTGTTCCATGGAGGTTCCAATGGGGAGACAGATGTGAAATATATAATCTAATATAAAAACCATAAGTTTTATGTTGGAAGAGTAAGGGCCGCCATAGTAGAGTATAACAAAAGAGGCTCAATTTAAGTGAGGGGAGGTGTCTTTTTCAATCAATAATAAGTACTAATTTGCTCATTGTTCATTCATTGATAGTAATTGATGATCTGTGAATTAACTATATATTCTACCAAAGAACTTATAATTTAAAGAAGCCCTGGGTATATTGTTTTGTAAATTAAAATGATCAATTTACAATTTATGTTTTCTAAGATTTGTTTTCATATGTCTAGTATTATATATTGGTTAAAGACGCAACTCCAGTTAAGGTGACCATTACTGAGAAATAATTGCATATCATTAAATCATGGAGGAAAAATCAGAAATTTCCTCAATTTTATTCTGAATTGTACCGATAAAGGCTATCAGTTATTAATATGGCAAGAGTGTGGGAGGGACACCCTACTGACTAAGGTATGTGAGGAACTCTAAAAGAAAAAGGTTAAAATTGGTTAATTTTTGGCTTTTTGTCTAACTTTTTTTTTTTTTGCAGTCCCCACAGGGGAATCCTAGTCTTTTGATCTTTAAAAAATAAGTGATAATAATAATCCACCTACTAAACCCAGTAGGAAATAGGAAAATATTCCCTGGCTTCTTATAGGGCCTCAGAAAGCCAGGTTTCTTGCGTTCCCTGGAGCCTCCCTCTTGTTTAATTATGCCTTCTGTTGTGGAAGCCCTTACCACAGCTTCTTCTTCTCCCGCGTGTGGCCTTCTCTAATGGGACTGTGGGCAGATGGAATAGAGTCGGGTTGTAATATGCAACAGAACAATCATTTAGCCATCCAGTTCTAGTTCTTTATGAAAGAGTCACAGGAGTACATGCAAACATAACACAGCCTTATTTACAATTTTAATTAGCCAGTTCTTTGGGAAAAATAAATTGCTAATGGTTTCTGTCTAGAATTCTAAAATATGAAATAATATTCACTTTCTGTTAGTACAATGAGGAGGAGTCACATTAGTGATAACCATGTGCAGCTAGGCAGTAGGAATCCTATCTGCTGCAGCATGTTTGATAGCTGCTTTAATCCTATTAATTTTCTCAGCAGGGGCACATATTGCCGCTTGATGGTGTGCAAATCAGCTCAATTGCAGCAAGGCCTGTGGTGCGCTCTCTGTTTTGAAGGATGGTTACAAATGGTAGCAGCACCAAAGAAAAGTCATATCTGGTGCAAGAGAAATAGGATTCTGAGGCAAGTTTCCTGACCCCAATCTGAGAAGCCTTGCTCTGGAGTCCTCTGTCATCTTTGATTCTTGGCAGCCCTAAACCATGATTCTGAAGCACTTCCCCTCCCCCAAATAAGCAGCACTTGCTTTAATGAGACTATTTTTAAATTTTGGTGTGTAAACACACACACACACACACACACACGCTATTGTGATGTCCAAGTAGCCAGCATTTGACTCTGCCATAGTTGCAAAACTCCATTGTAAACATAGAATCCATCAGAAAAAAAAAGAGGAGGGCATCAATCTTATCTGGCGTGTGTTAGTCTTTTTAATATAATTTTTTTCAAAGAATCATGTAGCAAGTTTTCTAAAACTGCAGATTTCCTTTTAGCTTCTACCCCAGTCCTAGAAAATTGTAATTTCTG